TGTATTTTAAGCAAAATTGAGATTTGTGTTATGCTCTGATCTCAGAAGTAAAAATAAAATTTATCACAATTTTCCACTTTGTTTTATATTTTATATTAAACTTTATGTATTTCTTACTTGAATTTTGATGGTTGGAGAGGTGTCCTGGGTTATCTGTTACTTCTTAACTCTGCTCAGTTCATGTGACTAAATAATGGACTATTTTCTCTTGTATATATTCCATATCCATGAATTATTGTCAACTCAGATGAGTCCTGTTTCCTTTTAATTCTTTCAATTTCAGTAACAGGAGTTATTGGTTCTGCATTTTCATATATACTCAGACCTAATCTGGGGTGAATATCAATGTGAGTTCTTATGAATGCCATTCTTTAACATTTTTGCAACAAAAGAAGAAGAATATTTTCAATTCTGCCTTTGATGTATATAGAATTACATATAGCAATAAAGACTATCTTTTATTTTCTTTCAATACAAATAATACGTATGTTAGTTGAATTCAGGCATCCACTGTAACTTACAGAAGTAACGATCTCATTAAACATAAGGAAACAAATATTCATGGTTCTTTACATTGGTGTCAGGAAATCACAGGTTAGCAGATACATTGCAAAATAGTGCAGTCAGTCCCATTGCTTTAAGTTTCTCTTTTTGTAACTAGGCAATAACAAATTGCAAAGTGTTATATGTGGAAGATCATTGGCCATTTTAAGAATTTGTATAAGATCAATTTGAATAATTTGGACTACCAAATATGGATAAGTTAAAGATGAGAGAGATTGGAAGTGGTTTTTTAATACATAGATACATATATGCACATGGGGCTCACAATGTGATTGGAAATGGGTGAGGGTGGACAGAGAAATCACTCTTTCTATTCCACAATGTCTATGTGAGGACTTAGGGAGGAAATGTGAACCATGGAAATTAGCTGGTTTGTCATGAACTTGTACGTTCCTGTGCTTACTGAGATTGAAGCCTTCTTTATGTGTTTGAGGGGGACTGAAGGAAATTGTGGGGCTGATAAACTTGAAGTTGTTAATACATTCTCATAAAATGCAGAATCACTAAATATTTTTATCCTCGCTTAATGACTGTGTTGTTAGCTTACTTATCTCTTGTTGTCATGTCTGTTTCACAAAGAAGGAGAAAAGGGTTTACTTTAAATGATAATCTTTGCTCCATCAAAGTACAGTGATTTACTTGGGCACATTTACATCACACTATACTTAAAAGTTTTATCCTCTAGTTAAATGAGACTTTGAAACCTAACTGTGTTTTTTTAAATGATACATTTGAATTTCCAGTCATGTATTTTCTTCCCATATACTCCTCAGATAAAAGAAAAAGTTCTATTTTTACAATCTTAAAAGAAGTATTTTCCTTGGATGACAGCTATAATCCGTGCATTCATGTACAAACACCAGCTTATTAATTCAGAATCATATATTTCAGTATACGTGATACTGAAATTAGAGTCTAGGCTAAAATTTACTTTTGCGTGGGGAACTCTTTCTTGATAAGATTTCTGCACAAGTCCAGGCCCAGAAAAATTTGGCAATTCTCACACCAAAAATACTTTATACACACTCATGATATAAATAAATATATATATATATATATTTACTCTTAAAAGGCTATAATGAAAGAAAGCATACCCATTGTACTCCTCAGTCCCACTCCCCAAAAGCTAATTCATTTTAGCTTTTATTTCTTTTAGTTGGCCACCCCTTTGTTATATAGATTTAGTGATGATTTAGTGGTGTAAAGTAAAAACAGAAACATTAACAATTATTGAAATTTTTCTCTAGGCTATAGATTTGCACTGAATTTCTCAATAGCAATATTGAACCTTAAAGGACAATGAAAGGCGAATTTTACATTTATGACTAATATATGATTTCCAATCCAGAATTATATAAGATAGCCAGCCAAATTTTCAAACTATGTGAGGGTAGAATAGATATTGATATCCACAGGGATTAAGAAAATTTAATCTCTTTGATTAGGAATTTAATTGAGAATATGCTTCTCATGTTCTAAAAGAGGAAACCCGCTTGATTTTATCCATGGCCTAATCAATTACCATGCCCTTTGGCAATATGCTCTCAAGAGAATTCTATCCTTGGCCATGTTACTTGCTTTGAACACTGGGATAAATTTGATGCAAGCAGGGATTTGAAAGAGTGCCTTCACATTTTCCCTTCCTTTTTTGCTTCTGTAAATTGTTATGAGAATTTGTGAAGAGAACAGGTCTAGCTCGCTGGAGGACTGTAAGAGACTTGCGTATGTGAGAAACCCATGAAGTGTAGCTGAGTCAACCAGCTGAGACCACACTAGATCAGAATGTCCCAGACTGACACAGACAGATAACATAAATATACATGTAAGCCCAGCCAAGATCTACCCAGTCCTACCCAGTCAGCTGAACCCCCGTAGCCCTCAACCAACATATGTCAAAGTTATATGTGTACACACACACACACACACACACCCATACACACATATATATTTGTTGTTGTTGTGTCCCATGCATCCTTACATCCTTAATTGCCTATTATGGTCCTTAGGCTTTGAAGTTTTAGAGTCTCTTGTATTTTTTTTTTTTTTTTAAGATTTCATTTATTTATTTCACAGAGAGACACAGCGAGAGAGGGAACACAAGTAGGGGGGAGTGGGAGAGGGAGAAGCAGGCTTCCTGCAGAGCAGGGAGCCCGATGCGGGGCTCGATGCAGGGCTCAATCCCAGGACCCTGGGATCATGACCTGAGTCGAAGGCAGACGCTTAACGACTGAGCCACCCAGGCGCCCCATAGATTCCCTTTTAAACCTTTCCTCTTTCTCAATTTGAAATAGCTAATAAATAAATTCTTTAACTGCAACGTAACCTGCTGTTTTTCTTGTTTACATTGTCTTTATCTCTCATTTAGATTATTCCAAGTGTCTCTTAAATGTGTTCCTTTTCCACAGTGGCTCATTCAATTGACCTGTAGGGTCTCCAGAATGGCAATTCTGAAGTGTAATTCTGACAACTTTCCTGTTCTAAAATTTTTGAATCCATACTATGTATAGAAATTCATATATTATTATTGAATTTACTGAAGCTTTTCCTCATATCCTCACAACCTGATAGGAACTTCCTGTCATTCATGTACTATTTTCTAAGGTGCTCATGATTTCTCATCATTCTTACCTATACACTGTACATCGTCAGTTTTGTTCCTGTATTCCCACCACCATCTTTAAAAAGAGTGTCTCTTTATATCATTGATGGGAATCTCATCCATGCACCAATCTCCAGGCTCCCTGATTCTCTAGATCATAATTAATGTTTTTCTTTCTCCCTGCTCTCATTGCACTTGTTTTGTTCCTTTGCATTAGATTTCATGTACAACATGCAGTCCATTGTACCGGTGCACTTCTGTGCCCCCCTGTAAGTTTCTTAGGAACACAGGCGGTATTTTCTTTATCTTTATGTTTACTTTATTTTCTTGTTGAATGTCTTCTGCATCGTAGATGCTTACTAACTGTTAGTTAGATTGAATCTGATGGTCTTTGTTTTCTTTGTGCTGCTGTACAACACCTCCCGTCTTTATACTCCATGTGAAATCACCATCATTCAGGCCTTTACTTTTGAGATTTCCACTACCAGAAAGTTTATGATGTACATTGTGTCCTTAGTATTTATGAAGTTAACTGGTATCCTAAAATTATGTATTTTATATTGTTCTGCTCACTTATATATTGGTGGTTTGTTACAAATGAAAAAATGGACTTGATTCCAGCATATGTCTATTAACACTTGGACGACATACATGACTGGAAAATTATGTTACCTTCATGCAGGAAGGTCATCTCAATGCTAAGAGTCATCAAACATGGGCTAATGCCTTTGAAAGCAAATATATAGCTCTCTCTTATGAAGATAATAAACAGCAAGTTCGACTAGTTCATTTGTGTTCCAGAGTCAGTTCAATGTCATTATGCAGACAGATTCTTACTGCCAGAGAGTACCTTATGCACAGAAGTATCCTTGGATCTGGTATTCTTTGAATGCTCTGTAACTGATTAGTATAACAGTATGAAGTAATTTTAGAAAGTCAGTTATAGCCTTATAAACACAATATGTGAAAGTGAAAAGTTCTCAAGGAAATAAGTTTGAGGATGTTAACCTTTAATAGCATGGATCGTAATTTAAAACAATCAAATGAAACCAGTTGTCCAAGGAAGTAAAAATAAGACAAAGGCTAGGAAAGCTTACAGAAACAATATTCTTGAAAATAAAGATTTCCTGGTAAGCTCTCCTCCAAAGACATCCACATGAAATTCTAAATTTACAAAAACAAATAAAAATCCAAATGAGAAGAATCCCGTCTTCCATGGGAAATGTCCAAAAATGATAAAACCTACTTATTTACAACATAGCTAAACACTGCCCGGAATAGAAAACAAAGTGGAGTTAATGTTGGCAAGGTAGAAAAGACAGTGAACGCTTAGTTCACAGAAATCATCTCTCAGGATTTTCAAAAGTTATTCTAAAACTTTGCTACTACATTATGTTGAGACCTGGGGAGAAAAAGGAGAGATTTATGTGCCTTTTACTGAGTCACTTTTACTCAAGCTCAGCCTTGACATTATTCTTTTTCTTTCAGCTGCATGGATATATCTTGGGATGAATAAATAATTTGCAAGTATATGAGTCAACAAAGAAAGAAATGCAGAGTTGCAGACTGATAATGGAAATCACAGGGGTTATAAAATATCATATATTGTGTTGCCATTAAGACGAAAGGAATACGGGAAGTTATAAATAACCCACATCATTTTTTAAAGGACTGCTTTTTAAATATTCTTCGTGGAAGCATAACTGATAAAAGTCCAGTCGTTTTTCATGTGAAACCATTCTTTTCAATAAGCAACTTGCTAAAGTGAAAAACCAGAAATAGACTATGGTGGCATTGTTTCGTTCAGTACTTCTGAATGAAATATCATAACCTGGAGTCTCATACATGAGTAACATGTTGAATAGCTTTTAATATACAGGTGTTACATGACAAAAGCGTGAAACTCTATAAAAAATAATGCTTATATCATGGAATAAAAAGAAACTGCAAAGGTAAGAAACATTTATGATATTGATCTTTACAATATATATTTGCAAGTACATTTCTTAATTGCATTGTTACCCTAAGAACTCTGTAATCTAGACATGCTCAGTCCTCTTTTACTGATCAAGATACCTAGCATCATTAAATGACTTGCCTAAAGTCTAACAGATTGTTAGATCTTTTGATTTTTTTAATCAAGTGGTAGAGAAGTGAAAAGTCTAGGAAAAGGCAAAACAAGATGTGGGAGAAAATAGTATCTGCTATTTGCAAGAATGACTTAGGGTTTGCACTTATTAAGCGACTTTACTTGCTGTACTTACTGTGAGATAGAAAGGAACAAGATGTGAGAGAGGAAAAAAGATATACTTTATCGAAAGAACCTCATACTAATCCTCAGGTTTGAAAAAACAGTTTAATATTATTCCTGACTATAAATTACTCACATAACATTCCGCCAAGTTAAAGGGTCCAACTTACTCAAATTCCACACTGAGCCAGTAAGAAAGATGGGACAAATCGGGTCTTCTAACTTTTACTGCAAGCTGAAGATGACAGGGAGCAAGGTTGAAGAGTGGGATGAATTTGCAGTAGATAGAGCATGGGTAAGAGTAGTGTATTTATTTAATACAAACTTACTAAACCATCCAATAAATACTCAGGAATGTTATCTGGATGAGAGACAATTATGAGAATCAGAGGGGATACACAAGTCCATTTTAATGACAAAGATATGATTTTGGCAAGATCTTAAAATATTAGATCCCAACATCATCATTAGTATGTCACTTGTATACTGAAATATTTATAGTTGGTTCCAAAGAGGCTAAAAACCCTTATAATTGGTTTTAAACTGGAAGATGTAGTCTGAGGAACAAGTATGCTGAAAATTGACACATGGAAATATTCTGATTCACTAGTCTCTCCACATATTTTCTGATTTCAGGAAAATATTTGTCAAAACACTTTCTCTGTGGATAGAGATGACGGATAATTGTGTATCTTCTAAGCATGTAAATGAACTAAATATCTCAAATAATCAGTCTGTCCCAAAATCAACTTTATACTTCTCTCAAACCTAATTTTCTGCAGTCAGTTGTGCTTGCAAAAATGGTTTAGCTCTGAAAATAAAATCTACTAAATGTAATCATTTCTGAAGCTCTCTTCCATTACAGTGATTTCATTTATATTAAGTCAGTTCTTTACAATGTATTTGTGGTTTTGTTTCTAATTATCTCTTCATGAGAAAAATCTATCATTCAAACCTGCTTAGAAACCTTGCCTACCAATACACATTTACCTAAGTAAGCCTGCATGTGTGTGAAGAAGCAAGCTTTAAAAATTAGTTCCACTTTCATTATCAATGTGTCTAAGAATATGAATTTTCAAAAAAGAATACCTATCCATCATTTTTTTTAATTTTAAACCACACTAATGAACACATTGGAAAAACCCAGAAGCATACACATTTTTGAGACAAGATGTTCCTATGTCACAAAATATTTTTTAAAGGAGATTAGATTTTATTTTTATTTATTTTTATTTTTTTATTTTTTTATTATGTTATGTTAACCACCATACATTACATCATTAGTTTTTGATGTAGTGATCCATGAGTCATTGCTTGCGTATAATACCCAGTGCTCCATGCAGAACATGCCCTCCTCAATACCCATCACCAGGCTAACCCATCGCCCACCCCCCTCCCCTCTAGAACCCTCAGTTTGTTTCTCAGAGTCCATAGTCTCTCATGGTTCATCTCCCCCCTCCGATTTCCCACCCTTCATCTTCCCCTCCTGCTATCTTCTTTTTTTTTTTTTTTTTAACATATAATGTATTATTTGTTTCAGAGGTACAGGTCTGTGATTCAACAGTCTTACACAATTCACAGCACTCACCATAGCACATACCCTCCCCGATGTCTACCGCAAAACATTTTAACAGCACAGAAAGTCATTTTTCTCAAAATCCTTGAGCAAAATGACATTCCAGGAAGATGAACCATTTTATTCTGTGTTTTAAAGGATCACTGCCTCATAGATGAAACACGGTGAATGTTATTTTGTTACTTTTCAGCTACCATATTGAGATTCTTTGGTCTGGAGCAGAAGGCTGTGTTCTGACCCAGATGATTTTATCTAGAAAGCTATTGACAAAACATTTTTTATCCTTATTTAATGGAAATGCTTTTATTTGCAACTAAATATAAGTTGCCACAAAAAGTATTGAAAACAAAGAAAAGTATAATGAAGACAACATAAACTATGTATGTCTCATCAGTCTAGTTTTGGTGTTGATTTATCTGCTTCCTCTTTCTTTTTCTTGCTCTCTCCCTCTCTCCTTATTTCTCTCTTTCTGTGTGTGTGTTTTTTTAAAGAGATATAACAGTTATGTAACCCGCATTGCATATTTAATATTAAATCATGCATTGTTTTCCATGCCAATTAATATAGATTTACATTATTATTTTAAAGATTAACAGATATTTCATTGCATAAATATTTTTTCAATATATTTAATTAATCAATCTTATTATGAAGTATTCTTATTTTGTTTGCATTTTTTTTATTTTATTTTATTATGTTATGTTAATCACCATACATTTCATGATTAGTTTTTGATGTAGTGTTCCATGATTCATTGTTTGCATATAACATCCAGTGCTCCATTCAATACATGCCCTCTTTAATACCCATCACCAGGCTGACCCATCCCCTCACCCCCCTCCCCTCTAGAACCCTCAGTTGTTTCTCAGAGTCCATAGTCTCTCATGGTTCATCTCCCCCTCCGATTCCCCCCCCCTTCATTTTTCCCTTCCTACTATCTTCTTTTTTTTTTTTAACATATAATGTATTATTTGTTTCAGAGGTACAGGTCTGTGATTCAACAGTCTTACACAATTCACAGAGCTCACCATAGCCCATACCCTCCCCAACATCTATCACCCAGCCACCCCATCCCTCCCACCCCCCACCGCTCCAGCAACCCTCAGGGTGTTTCCTGAGATAAAGAATTCCTCATATCAGTGTTTGCATTTCTTTCAAGCTATAAACATGCTAAAGAACATTGTATATCTGGTAATTTTCTAACTGTAAATCTTAACAGTAGAATACATGGTAACATACTATGCACATTTTGGGATTTTTTTATTATTTATTTATTTATTATTTTTTAAAGATTTTATTTATTTATTTGACAGAGAGAGCAAGAGAGCACAAGCAGGGGGAATAGTAGAGGGAGAGGGAGAAGCAGGCTCCTCTGCCAAGCAGGGAGCCTGATGCAGGGCTTGATCCCAGGACCCTGGGATCATGACCTGAGCCAAAGGCAGACGCTTAACCAACCGAGCCACTCAGGCATCCCACATTTTGGGATTTTCAATCTATTTTACCATGTTGATATTTAGAGAGTGCATGTCAGTTCTACATGCCTACCAACAAGCTGTGAGAGTGTCTTATTTGCTCCTTTCTGCTGGCTTCGTCTTAAAATTCTGCCATTTGTAAAGATCAATAATGTTTTCTTTATTTTTTTAAAGATTTTATTTATTTATTAGAGAGAGAGTGAGCACACGAGGAGGGGGAGGGACACGGGGAGAGGGAGAAGCAGACTCCTCGCTGAGTGGGGAGCACAATGTGGGACTTGATGTGGGTCTCGATCCTGGACTCTGTGATCATGACCTGAGCCTAAGGCAGACGCTTTACCTACTGCACCACCCAGGAGCCCCAATAATGGTTTCTTATAGTGATTTTATTGTTCACCTTTAGTTTATGATAAAGTTGAAAATATTTTATATCATTTTGCCCATTTGTAGTCCAGATTTTATGAAGTACCTATTCATCTCTTGAATTTATTTTTCTCTTAACTGACTTATATGTATTTTATATACCCAGCATATTCAAACTTCTTTGAACATTTATGGTTTATTTTAGCCATTCATATTTAGTTCTATACCTTCAAATCCATTTTTCTCTTTATATTTTCTGATATTAGTATACCCTTTGAAATGCATTCAGTGCAATCCAGTAGATGGTTTTCTATGTTGCTCTGCAGACAAGTGAGGCATTACTGAGGGAACATCAGGAATACCTGCTGCTGAGAGCTACTTTGCTAATTTGACTATCCCCAGAGTGTCACATAGCCTGAAAATATTTTTATTGATGGGGCCCAAGTAAATGATCTATTTTCTTTCATTCTATTAACACATGTATTGTTCACCATACCCCTGTGATATTGGTTGTTATTCATTCCTATCTTACATATGGAGAAAGTAGGAAACAAGAGGTTAAGACATTTTATTAAGTTTACATGCTACAAATTGGCAGAGCTGAGCTTTGAACCCAATCTGTCTTATTTCCGATTTCTCACTCTTAACCCCTTCACTATTACCGCTTCTTAAATGAGTCTTGGCACTCTCTTTAATGAGCTTTCCCCCCAGGTCCCCTGTGTGACTGTGTGGCCAAGATGCATCCCTTTTGGAAGCTCAAACTATTTATTTTAAACTTCACTTACATGAACCTCATTTATGACCTTTTCCTGCAGAGAATGATTGCCTTTTAAAACTGCACTAATTTCCATGTTTTTAGCTTCCATTATAGACTAATTTTAAGCTTTTTGTCTGTCCTTGGGCTACTGGGGATTGCTAGAAGGAAATTTACTTTGAGCTCCCTAGTGTAGGTACTCTGAATGCTGGCTTTAAATAGAATAGCATTCTTTGATGCATTCAAATTATTTATATAGAAATGGAGCTTTCCCCTTAAACTTTAACTTTATTGTACATTTATCATGCCTTTCAATGAACTAGGATTAATTAATTAATAACTGCGAGCAAATTCTTGGGTATATTTATCATTACCTCTGTTTCTTTCAGATATGGCATTTTCATGGACTTCAAAGACTTCTCTGTGCTGCGTAGCCCGGGAACATCCCGCACAAGGTTATGGCTGGTAGTCACTGATTGTCTTCATTGATGGCTGCTGTAGAAAATTCTTATTTAACAGCTTCGAGTTTACAAAGGAATATTGACTATTTAGAAGATGTATTTAATTAAGGTATAGACATGGAAGACCTAGGATAATAAGACCCTTAAATATAAAGTTGAAGGACTAGGTAATATTTTATTTTTCTAACTTCATAACTTCGTAATTTCAAATGTTAAGCTTTCAAATCTGATTTCCCCAACTGTAAAATGTAAGGACTAAAATATGCCACTTATACATTGCACAGATATTGAGGTAATTAGAATGGGAAATGAAGAAATGAAGTCATGGCAGATGAATATAATTTGTTAATAGCACCCTGTGCAAATATGAGGGCTCATATTATTTAATATACAAATCTTTACTAAAAATTATAGCAAAACCAGAAAATGTATATAAATAATGATAAAGTATATACTCAAAAATGTAATGAATTATTTTTTACTTAAATTTGAAAATAATATCCAATATTACTATTATTACAATTCTATATAGCCATCTGGGAATAGATTATTAATGAAATATTGAATCAGTCTCTGTTTGGTGAGCAAGTATTGACCATTATACAGCAAGCAAATCATTCTTAAATATGTTTTTGTATTGCAACTTCTTGTTAAAATTAAATAACTTAAAAGTTGTGTATTTTATATGTGTCAATGACATTAGATTTAACTTGTAATTTCTATGTATATTAAATAATTTATCATTTGTCTCTTCCTCATTTTATGTTTTTAATGGATTTCATTAGTTTTGGAGGAAACAATACATTCTGAGTGAATTCAGTAATTTGAAATTAAGATTTATTTACACAAATTTTGTGTTTCATAAAAAATGTTTCTAAAAGTGATTGCTAATCATTCTCAGAGACAAAAAGACTTGTCTTTTTAATACCAGGAATGGCTTGCCATGTTTTGCTCTAAATATAACACCTGGGGAATATCATCTTAGGGTGACTTTGGTTATGATTCTTTTTAAGACTGCCTTTAATTGCTTTTGCATCGAGCTGTATTCATGAATGTGCATTCATCAAAGAATGAAGAGCAATGTGACATTTTTAAGTTTTACTAAGTCAACTAGCATCCGTTGCCATAGTACTCAGAAATGAGGAAACCAGGAAAAGGCAGAGTTGTTTTTAATTATGTGTTGAAAGATGTCACAAGATTAAAGTGTCAGAGCAAAAAGAAAAAAGAAAAAAAATAATGAAGAGAAAGTGAATTACTTTTAAATGGTTATTAATGAAAATAAAATTAAATATAACAGTCAACTTTTTTTTTGAACGAGGGCAAGATATTAAAAAGATGTATTTAAAGTAGGGGTGGCTTTATTCTTTTTTAAAAACCATATAGAATGTCTGAACCTGCCCCTTCCTCTGTAAAAAGAAAAGTATCTCCATACACCTAATGTCTCCTAATTTAGGAAAATTCTCTCCTCTTTAAGGGAATGATTCAGGCTGGTTTTCTGCCTTGAATAGAAAAAAAAGATGTCTGAAAATAATTTTGTGCCCTTAAAATATCCTTTGAGTGAAATTAATATTCAAGAATGCACTTGATAATTAGGTCTGGCATTTTGTAAATTATGTATAACGTTTAAAAATAAAGATCCAAACTTATTTAAATATGGTAGCTTCATGACCTGCTCTTATAATTCCTTGAATTCTCAGTGTCTCTGAATTTCAATAATGATACAATTTTTATGGTATAAATAGGCTACATATTTGGAGTCATCATTATTCCAATCTCTCCCTCTTTCAAGATCATGATTTCTGAAATTATCTTTTTCTGATCTCTACTTATTAACCTAAGATCTCTTATTTTCTCATAAACTGAATTTTGTCTTCAACCTATTAACAACGCAGAGACTTGATCTCCTTCTATACTTCTGCTTAACTCCAGAATCTCCATGTTCTTGACTTTCTGTCATAACTGCCCCTTAATCCCTCCAGCCTTCTCCTAATCTCTGAGCAGTGCTGTGGAAAAGAACCAAAAAGAAGTTGATTGGGTGCACTATAAATCCAAGCTACCAAATCTCATGTAGCTCTGCATCACAGCTAAGTAAACTGGGATTTCACAATTCCAGTATTTTCCCTTTCAAATATTGTCAAGTCTCTTTAGAGTAAGCTCCCATACACATTTGAAATGATTCTACTCTGTATTTATGATGAACCTTAAATATAAAGTTGCCCCTCAACTTCTCTGTTTCACCTAAAAAATGTATCTTGGTTGTCATTCACTTTTTTTCTGTTTTCCATCTCTCTGAATGAACACCAGACCCTCCACCCAGGCTCTTAATCTCACCTTTTTTCTATTCCAATTTGGAACTAGCAATCATGATGGGTTAAATAGGACTCTAATCCAGCAGTTATGCAAGCCCAAGGAAAATCCTCCATAGTTTACATGTATAGAAAATCCATTCAATATTATTCTAAGACTTTTTTTCAGGAAATCTTAGCCTTTAAAATCATCCCTTTAATATTACAGTTCCGATTGGAAACAAAGATTAATAGCTACTCAAAGCAAAGAGCTTTTTTAGTAAAGATTGAGTTAAAATAAACAATAAGTGAGCAAACAAACCTCTCCTCAGCACAGGCACTACTTTGAATGGTGTTCCTACATTTTTTTGTCCTTTATAATTAACAAGATTCTGCAAATAGTAGCTCATATGAAGTATTCACAACTTTTTACCGAAATGATAAATCAGAACATTGTTCACAAAAAACTTTCATGATAGAAATAACCTTTTTTTCTTCCTGCAATTAGAAAAATTGAGATTGAGGAAGGAGTTTCCCTAGACTACAGGGGAAAAACATGTGCCTCCAAATAGATTAAAATAAGCTTCCATCTTGTAATTTAGTGTTAATCTCAGTAAAGCATATTGTGTATAATAAAATTTTTTAAATGCAGCAAATGTGGTTATGGGATGATGACACAGCCAAGTCTTTATTTGCCATGTCAACATTAAGGTAGCAGAACTTCTGAGATGAAAATATCAGACTCAGATGAAATGGTGACTCAGAAGGCAGAAATTCAAAAAATGGACTCCTAGTAAATTTTGCCAAACTGCCTGAGGCACTTCCCCATCTGTATGTGTAACATGCATTCAGCTATTGTAAAGTTTCTCTAACAGTCCTGGGAAGTGCTACGACAGTAACAAGGAAGATTGATAGCAGATTCCATGCCTCTTTGTTAATCACATTAAGAACGCTGCTTTGTACTCTCTCATGTTGTGTCTGGAAATATATATGCCCACCACACCATATTGAAAACTTTCATCCTATTACCCATCTGCTGCCAGTAGATGATCAGTTTAAATGCAAAAATGGGTGATGCGGGTGTGAAACTCCAGGATTTACCAAGCACACCATTTTTCTAGCCCTATTCTTTTAATCACCTTTGGGAAATGCAAGAACTTAACACATACTACATTTTGAAATGTTTCCATAGAGGATTTGAATCATATTTTATGTAACTCAGGTTATGTGATAATGACAAGAATGTCTCCAAACATTAAAACTGGTAACTTTAAACACATAGATTCAGCATACTGACTGTTACTTGTTTTTTATCATAGAGTTCATGACGAAACTCAGTACTAGAATCTGGGGTTTATGAAAACATATTTCCTTCCATTTAGGTGGAGGAGTTTCTCAAACCCTTTGATCAGATCTCAACCCCAACAGTCAGATAAATAAAAAGCCCTTAACAGTTGTAGCAAGGGGAGCAACTAGTTGTGAATACATTTCATCAGTTGGGGAGATAAAATTTATTTCTTCAATTACTTTGTGAACATCTGCAGGTTATAAAGAGGAATGTGCATTGATACAATCAACTGTTTATTTTGTCTTTTAATTGCATTCATTGATTAATTTCTAAGTATTATAATCAGTTTTCCTCTGGTGTCAGAAATTAAGGGCAATGCCAAACTTATTTTCCTGTGTAAAGAGATTATTTGGACAATAGATTTTTTTCAAGGCTTTTGAAAATAGTAAATAATGATAAAATAATTCTATAACAAAGATACTAATTCAATAACAATTAGTCATATTAATAAATTGTTCATCAGAAATACTTCACAAAGACTAGATCTATATTTAAGTTGGAGACAAAATCATCCAGTTCGATAGAAGAGTTGCAATTCGGTTACATAGTGTAATGGAACTAGTAAACAGTACAGCTCAGTTGTCAAGTGCAAGGGATCAGTAAGTAAAGTGACTGGGTCAAATCCTGACTGCACCACTTTTCAGCTGTGTGGTCTTGAGCAAGTTTCTTCATTGGTAAAATTATGCTAAAAGCTATACCGGACTCTTAGAATTGTTGTAAATATAAAATTTACAAATCAGAAATATTTTAGTATTGTATGTACCATCACGTTGTTTAAAAATTTTATGAGTAAAATTGTACAACCCTTTAGGTGAGTCATGAATGAGGCCTAAGAATACAGACTACTGTGTAGAATGATGGAATATTTTGGAGAAGCACAACTTAAAAAAGAACCTATGTCAAGGAGAACCAAACCCAATTGGATCTTGTTGGACATTACTGGTGAGCATTTTTTTATTTGTGGTGCACTTTTTCAGTAGAAACTACAACCAGGTTTAATTCCTTCTAACAGAGATGTATATACTATCAGAAAATTTAATTAATTTAAACTGACCTGATTTAAACTTGGATGGAAGGAAAACATCAGAAAAGTCATAGTTGTATGTTAATAAAAGATCGGTCAATTTCATACATAACAAAACCAAGTGTTTTAGATAAGGTACTTCACTCTTTCTCTCTTTTAGAATACATAACAAAAGTTAAGATTACTACTTTCTAAAAATTTAGAAACAGGATCTGTTATATCACCAATGAGATACTTCCAAATAGTTGCCTGAGAGTCAATAAAATTTAAGTATAGTCTTCAAAGAGGCGGTAATAGCTAATCATTACTTTAGTGTAGAATCTCAACTATGATAATTATAAGTAATCCTCCTTTCTTTTATGATTACTTAGTGCATTGCCCTCTTAATGATTATTTTCATAGTTAAGAAGGAATGTAATATTCTCAAAAACACTTTGTAGGTACATTGAACTACATGCTAATTCCTACGGTAAACTTGGCTTTGCAAATTAGATCAGAAACAAAAACAAAAGTAGAATTACAGTGTTCAGTATGCTAATGGTATTGTTTAGGAAGAGGGAACTTAAATCTGTGTATACTGTGGATTAGAAAAGGCAGAGGCTGCAGACAAGAATAAATGTTAGGATTGTATAGAATGAGTCTAGTCAAAGTGAATTAAGAGATAACCAGGGGGAGACGAACCATGAGAGACTATGGACTCTGAGAAACAAACTGAGGGTTCTAGAGGGGTGGATGGATTGGGTTAGCCTGGTGATGGGTATTAAAGAGGGCACATATTAAATGGAGAACTGGGTGTTATATGCAAACAATGAATCATGGAACACTACATCAAAAACTAATGATGTAATGTATGGTGATTAACATAACATAATAAAATAAAATTTAAAAAAAAAGAGATAACCAGTAACACAATATAGTGAGACCTGCAACCTTCCTTTAACGAGACAAAATATGAACAAAATAAGAAATTGAGAGAGTGAAAGAAAGAGAAGTGGTGGAGGGAAAGGAAAGGAAATGAAGAGAGAAGAGAACAGAAGAGAAGAAGAAAGCGTTTAAGTTTCTAAAGAAAGAAAACATTCCTAGATGCCAGAAAGAAGGAATTACTAAACAAGTGATAAAACCAACTTTAACCCAGGGCTTATCTGAGACCCATTCAAAAAGCCAATACTCTGGAATGAATGTAGCCTCCTTGAATAAAGGACAAGAAAAAATACCCACTGATCCATAAAGCTGTTTCTAATCAGGGCTCTATGTAGAAAAAAATTCTCCTGTGCAAAATGAAAAACAAAACTTTTCATGAGAGTACTCTAAAATTACACTATTGCATGATGTGAAAACTCAAACTCAAGAAATAACCATAAAAGTTGTCTATGAGAGGTCATCTTGAGCTTAGTAGGGAAAAAATGCAAATGACTCTATAAGGACACTTCCACCATCCAGAACAATGGTGCTTGCCAGGAGGAAAGGGGATATCTTTCAAAGTAATAGTTCAGTAAAAACATTTGACCACAGAACTGTATCATGAAGTAGATTCAACACAGTAGCAAGGTTAGCTTTCTAAGAGTTTGAGCTAATAGAACAAAGATATATTTTATTATTATTATAATTGTTACAGTAGTACAAGAAGGAAGTTAAATCATAATGCAAAAAACACTGAATAAAAAAGAGGCAGATTGTAAAAAGAGAAAAAGGACCAAATAAATCTTTTAGAAATGAAAATGTGCAAATGAAAATTATACACTCTAGACTGGCCAAACAGCTGATTAGGAACACAGGAAAGAGTGTTGATAGCTCACATTTAGATCTGGGAAAACTATCTAGAAACTGCTAAAAGAGATAAAGAGATGAGAAATGTGAGACAGAAGTTAAGAGATATAGGGGGTAGAATGGAAGTCCAACATATTACTTTTTCTCTCTCTCTCTTTTTTTTTTTTTTGAGAGAGAGAGAGAAAGTGGGGGCGGGAGGGAGAGGGAAAGAGACAGAATCTTAAGCAGGCTCCACATCTAGCACAGAACCCAATGTGGGGCTTTATCTCACAACCCTGAGATCATGACCTGAGCCCAAATCAAGTCAGATGCTTAATTGACTGAGCCACCCAGGTGCCTGGGAAGGCCAAAATATTTCTAATAGGAGTTTAAAAATGGAGACTAGAGAATAAAGACAAAGTAACATCTGGAAAGGTAATAGTTAAAAATTTTACAGAAATAGTAAAAATCAGGGCGCCTGGGTGGCTCAGTTGGTTAAGCGACTGCCTTCGGCTCAGGTCATGATCCTGGACTCTCGGGATCGAGTCCTGCATCGGGCTCCCTGCTCGGCGGGGAGTCTGCTTCTCCCTCTGACCCTCCTCCCTCTCATGCTCTCTGTCTCTCATTCTCTCTCTCTCAAATAAATAAATAAAATCTTTAAAAAAAAAATAGTAAAAATCAGTAATACTGAAGTCACAAAATTATAGTATATTACAAGAAGAGTAACAAAATCTAAATTTATAAAAAATATAAATTCAAGATGAATTAAAAATAAATCTTTTTTAAAAATATATATAAATATCTTTATGCTACTGGGGTAAAGAAGAATGGTTTTAATACATGACAAAAAACAAAACTAAAACAAAAAGGATAGTATTATTATGATACTCTTACTATTACTGCACTATAGTACGACCATGTTAATATTAAAACTTCATTGTGACAAATGACAGTTTAAACAGGATAAAGATACATCTGAGAGAATGTATTATAACACAAATATATTAAAAATTTTTATAATTCAACATTAAAGAGCCAACCATCTAATAGAAAAGGTTTTAAAGGATATGATTATGCAATTCACAGATGGCAAGCATTTGGGAAATCTCATATGTTACATTTCTGTAACTACTTTTGCAAGGAAGTATGTTATAGCTATTGAAACTAAAACTTACATATCTTATGATCTAGAAAGTCTAACTTAATTGCCATACTGTTTGCAAGTTACATCATAAAATAAATAGTAAATTTATTTTATTAAATAGCTATAACTATATTATTACAAATAGATTCCTATATAGTATTAAAATATACAGTATATGAAAACTTAATGATAGTGATGCTATAAATTTTAATGGAAAGAGAAAATCTTTTAAATTGAAGAAAAGATTTAAAAATAATTTCCTGGAGCACCTGGGTGGCTCAGTCAGTTGGGCGCCTGATTCTTGATTTTGGCTCAGGTGTGATCTCAGGGTTGAGCCCCATCAGGCTCTGTGCTCAGTGGGGAGTGTGCTTGAGAATCTCTCTCTCTCCCTCCCCCTCCCCCTCCCCCTTTAGCCCTCCTCCCACTCTCACAGGTGCCCCTTCTCTCTCACCCTCTCTCTCAAATAAATAAATAAATCTTTAAAAAAATTAAAAATAATTTCCTGAAAGTAAATTTTCAGGTGATTTTAGCATATACCTATTCAGGGAATGTTTTTTTTAAAACCTTGCTTAAGTTCTTATCTTGCAGTACATATGAGGTTTAGGAATCAGATTAATTCTATGCATTAATAGAAAAGTAAAGTTGTTAAATTTGGGAGTCACCACCTGTAGAGTAGAAATAAATGTAGTTTCAAATTCAACAACAACAACAACAACAACAACAACAAAAGACATTGATGTAGATAAATCCAGAATATGTTAAGGAGGGAAAATGAAAGAAAAAAATAAGAATTATAAGCAAAAATTGAATGGATGGAAAAATAAAATGCTAGAATAAAACCATTTATTATATGACAATTTTAAATATCTTAAATGGTTTACTGAAAAGAAACAATGAAGTTAGAAACTTGTGTGGAATTAAATACAGAGAACTACTGATACAGGACAACTTACAATGGTAGATTCCACAGATATTATGCAAATCTAATGAAATTAGGATGCAGCAGAAAGACAAATGGGCTTTTTGTCCTGGCTCTGACACTTATTTACTCTGTGCACACAGTTCAAGGAATATACCTGTAACTGTTTTTAAAATGCAAATGTGGGGTTATGAGAGCAACTTCCCCTAATATTTAAGATCAATGTCAGATGGTACATCGTGACAAATGAGGCCTTCATGGCCTTTAATGAGGCCTCTCTAGGCTTATCTTCACCACTTTCCCTCATAGTGATACCCTTTGCTTTGGCCTGAAGAAAGTATGTGCAGTTACCTCCACAGTCTCTTCATTATTCAAGACATGTGGCTCTCCACACTTATGTCCGCCCACTCCTTTTAAGGGAAAGTGCGTTACTGGAAACACTAAGGAAGGAAAACATAGGGCATCCCTTGAAGAGAGTGACCACTGATTTTACTAGAGAGGCAGATAGGTCAGCAAAGCTGGTAGTGTCTTGTACAGAAAATTATGCTTGAGAGGGAAACTGCTGAGTTATTAATTTCAAACGGAATTTGAATGGAATTTGAATGGAAAACGTGAAGATAGCCACCTAGCAGCATAAGTGGAAACAAGAAATTAGATGATAAACAGAGATCAAAAGAGGATGATTATATGAACAAAACTAGAATGAGGAAAAGTTAATTTCCTTTCATTTAATTAAAAAAAAAAGAGTTAATTGTACTCTCTTGTACCCTATTGAAAACAGATGTTTTGAACTCTACTTCGCAAAAAAGTTAGTGTATGTAATATAAAAACATAATGAATATATTTGCAAGGCTAAATTGTTCTCTTCCTTTGAACTATTTTTTTTAAGGAGAAGGTATGTAATTTTATGTTTAATTGGAAATGTTCTCAAGCTAGAGAAATTACTTAGAAATCCTATTTACCTAAAAATAAAACAATTGAAAACCTTTTCCACATTTACCAGTACGATTCTTTAATGTTTCAAGGATGCATTGATTTTATAAAGTGAGGTTTAACTG